CTCGCTAAAATTCTCTCACTTAATATAAACGCCGCCATACCGAACAGGGCTTTGTTACACGCCTTACACCTTTGTTGCTTTAACCAAGCGCTACATTAAATGCAGTGCTATATCCGTTGTTCCACACCGTATCCTAAGTAAAGAGAAATTTCTCCCTTTCTATAATATATATTTTTCAACTATATATGTTGTATTCGTGTCATTGAATACAGCAATTTTTCGCTTCGCTTCTCCTCAAGCATCAGGGGGGCATAATTTGAATAAAACTAAAATCTTCTAGAATTATTATGTTTTCAACCGCATTTGCACATGTGTTTGTTTTGTCTAAAGCACCGGTGGGGCGGGCGAAGTGCGGGCTTCGCACCCTAAACAATTTCACTTCTGAAATGGTACACTAGTATCAATGAAGATACTAATAGTTATACTATCTTTGCATTTAACGTTGAAATATATTTCTCCTTTTTTATGTGACATTGCCTTTGGCTAACCAAAATGATCAGTTTTGAAAAGTGAAACATATAAGACCCCGTTTACGTGCATGAGACCGGCCAACCGGGACGAAGTCGAGCCGGAATGAAAATTGAAATTGTCAACATCTTTTCATGAGACCGGAACGAAAATCACAAAATTTTCAATTTATTCCCCTTGCCAGGCAATTTTCTTTTTTAGATGGATTTTGTTAGCATGTGTTGTTCCAATGTCAAGGTTACAGCCGAGACCGTTCTGAAATGTATTTGTGTTTACATTCATCCCAGTCTGAATTCATGCCGGTCTGAAGTCAATCGGCTCGGTCCAGCAGGCGGAATGACTTGAGACCGGTCTGAGTTATTTTCGTCCCGTGGTCTCATGTAAACATCTATTATAAAACATACTATGACCGAAACGAAATGGTCCCGGTTTGACTTCGTTCCTGTCTCATGTAAACGGGACCTACGGCCGTACTTGTTCAGTTAGGGCCTGTTCATATGGGCAAAAGTTATCCCGGTTAACGAGAAAACTTTTCGACTAGCCAAATACTTTTGTTCTGTTCATATGGAGAGAAACGTTATCACGCTTACCGGGTAAAGTTTTCGGCTGTGACGTAGCACTAAACATCAATTGAATTGAAAAGTTGCTGACACGACAGAAAGTTATCCCGCTAAGCGGGAAAGTTGTGTTCATATGGGAAAACTTTATCCCGGTCACCGATATCTCGCCTGTCAACAAGCGAGATCTCGGTACACGGGAAGACTTTTTGTCTCATATGAACGCAGTGTAACTTTTCATATTATTTTCATAACAAGGCGAGATCTCGCTTTTAAACTTGTCGAAAAATTTTCTCGCTAACCGGGATAACTTTTGCCCATATGAACAAGCCCTTAGACATGGCTTTCACAGAAATATATCTGCCTATCATCAAATTCGTCCATATATTAAGAGTCCAGTTTTGCTATCTAGGAAAGTCTAGATGCAAAGTATATACCCCTCGTATACCTGAATTCAAGTCACTCGTGATGTTCCGGACTGCTTGACCCAATATAGGTATACCGTGGGACGATCCGTCCATAGTACCGGATATGACGTCATACCACAGATGACGTCATTTTAGTGTTACCTGTCTCTGCTACTTTTATCGTTGAGGTTTTGATCTCGTCTGACTTCGGGCGCTTTGTCAACTAGGGAAAAACAAAACAATTAGATTGTAGGCAGTGTACTACAATATACGCTTGTGTCTGAACTGCCTGAAAAAGATATCCCAAACGTGGTGGTCTAGTGTAGGTAGGATTCTACAGTAAACGGCTGCCGTGGTTTGTGTTTGAACTACCTGAAAAAGATATCTCGAACGTGGTGGTCCAGTGTAGGTAGGATTCTACAGTAAGCTGTCGTGGTTTGTGTTTGAACTACCTGAAAGAGATATCTCAAACGTGGTGATCCAGTGTAGGTAGGATTTTACAGTAAGCTGTCGTGGTTTGTGTTTGAACTACCTGAAAAAGATATCTCAAACGTGGTGATCCAGTGTAGGTAGGATTCTACAGTAAGCTGTCGTGGTTTCTGTTTGAACTACCTGAAAAAGATATCTCAAACGTGGGGTCCAGCACATCCCCTCTCAATTATCTCAAACATGGGGGGTCCAGTACGTTTTTGGACATCTACAAAAACATTCAATTTGCTAAATTTTTCAGCAGTGCTATATAGAATTGAGAGCCAGCTACCGGCTTGAAATGGACTTGAAAGAACGTGTGTTGCGGCTTAGTATTCTAACCTACTTCAGACAATATATAGCGCGATTATTTTAAATATATATTCCACGGTGTACCATTTTAACCGTACGAAAGGTTATATATATTCTTATATGTTCACCCTGAGTTTGACTAATGGTCGCGTGTCGCAGGTAAAAAAAGTCGCGGGTTGTAAAAAAGCTCCAAACCGTGTATTTTATTGAGTCGCGGGTTGAATAAAGTGTGTAAAAATCACGTTATTATTTAGTTATTTAATGGTTTTTATCAATAGTATTATTCAATATTAACTTTTAGTATTTTTGCACAAGTGAACATAACAAATCCTACACAAGTTGATTTGTCAAATTTTTTTGTTGTTTTTTTTTATTGGTCAAATTTGACGTATTTTATTTTTTTTATAGCTTAAAAGCTGTTATAGTCACCTACAAGTGAATATAACAAAACCAGTGAACAAAACCGAAATTTACAAAATGGCGGCTAGCCGTTTCACTTTCGGGCCCAAATGTGATGCATTTTCCCGCGCGTAATACAAATTAATACAGAATTTGCAAATTTCACAGGGCTATATTTTCCACATTTTACAACATTTCGCAACCAAACTTTGCAATTTTACTAATTTTAATATGCACTTTGTAGGTGTGGTGATGGATTTTTTTCTTTCCTACATCAAAATTTAGTCCATAGCTGGAATTGCCTATTGGAAGTGTCGCAGATGTTTTGTCCAGGATTGTATAGGACATCTTGTCAACTACCACAAGATAATCAGACCGCGCCAATGTTTACTGTAATATTCGTGTACAGTTGATATTCGGCTGTCTTGATGGACTTGATGACGTCGTATTGAAGGGAGTTTAATCCATCTGTCGTCATCCTCTTCGCTGAACTTTGCAGTTTTTTATGCCTAAATGAATTTTAACCCATTACCACGCCTTTCCTTTGGAGGGACACACATTTAACTCTATACTGGATAATTCTATATTCGTATCTAAACTGTTCTTTCTAGAGGTCCAGTGAGAACATCCGACCTCATTGATCCAGTGTTCGAGAGGAAACCTAAACTAAACTAGTAGGGGTAACTGAACGAGTCACTATATGAAAGGTTTACATGAAGTAGTGCGTCACATTATAGGCGCGCAAAGGGGAGTGGGATATGAGCGTCCCTGCGCTTGTTCGTCGCGATGCACTACTTCATGTGAACCGTTCATATAGTGACTCGCATGAAATATTTTATTAGCGCCTGGGAACGAGGCAGGTGTAGTGTAAGGCCTTCAGAGTGAGGTTGTATTTACTTTGTTAGTTTATTTTGAATATATATATATTTCACATCACTTATAGCTCCATATACTGGGGTATTTACAAACCTCTTAGGGTCTTTTGGAGCACTCTTATGACCAACGTTCAGCATTGTGTAACAACCTAACTCGATCATTGGTCTCGACAACGTGTACTTTGCCGCACGAATCCTGCAACGACATATAGAATTACCGTAAACCTCCGACTATAAGCCCCCCGAATATAAGCCCCCCCCGAATATAAGCCCCCAAATATATTTGGTGAGATATATTGAGATATGGCCCAGATATAAGCCCCTCCGAGATATAAAGCCCACCACATATGCTAACGCTCACCTCGTTCCAAATATATTTGAATGCGTGCCGCACGAGATATAAGCCCCAAATATAGGATCCCCGAATATAAGCCCAGTAGCCCACTACGTTATTCAACATTGACATTGTCTTTTGATATAGCAGAGAACGATATTTAAAAACATTGTCATTGTCTTTATAGCCGACTATGTGAATCAAAGCGCGTTTTACATGTTTATTTTCCTGTTTATGACTGACTTGTTTATGTCTGACTTGTTTGTTACAAACACAAAAGATCGTCCATGTATTAGCCCCCCCGTATATAAGCCCCCCCCCCCCTTGTATAAGCCCATCAAAAATTGCTTATGAAAGTATTATAAGCCCAGGGCTTATAGTCGGAGGTTTACGGTATGAGAGCAGTACAGTAAAATCCCTCTCTCCTCCGCAGAGGTGTATTCTCACTACTAATCGTAATCATGCAAAGTCAACAGAAGCCTCTGCGGAGGAGAGAGGTAAATCCCCGCATATAAGAACCGAGAATTTAAGAACCTGTTAGACCAAAATATTCTATTCAGAGCCCCTTTAAACACGAATCTGTTTAGGGTAGAATTTCTAAGCTTTTATCAAAAAGAATCAAAACTAAAAATTTAGGCATAAAAAATAAGCTCTTCACAAACTATAATGAAAATGACCCAGAACCCTGAAAATGTCATTCAGATAAATAAGATGTCCATATATCAACACAACAACAAATATTTTATATAATGTACGGTTTAATAAACGAGCAGGAGTTTATTAGTTTTATTCTAATAAAACCAACATGAGCTCCACCTTTGAATTTACTATATGAGTAAATTCTTAAACACGTCCGAATTTATCATTATGATAAATTCGCGGCACATTTTGAATTTATCAGAAGACACGACTTCTCGCGCGGGGGCGGGGAGATTTTCAAGATTTTCAAAAAAAAAGTTTTTAAAAAGTTTTAAAAGAGTTTTAAAAAGCAAAAAAAGTTTAAAAAGTTAAGGAAAGAAAAGGTTAGGAATTTACTCATATAGTAAATTCAAAGGTGGAGCTCAAATTCAATAGATATACTGCCCTATTAGTATTCTTTATACAAAGAATACTAATGAGGATACGACTACAATATAGATACTGCCTATTAGTATTCTTTATATAAAGAATACTAATTAGGAGCGTTTTATCAGGTTTAAAGCCAATGCACGTGACATATTATGGTTGAAATGATTTGGCAATAAGCTTATGAATAAGTTGAGTGTTTGATTCTTCAGTAAAAATACTACACGACAATCTCAACTATACTATACTATACTATACTATACTATACTATAGTGACTGTAAGCAATTTCCAGCATCATGGATTGTTAGATAATTTGTACATAATTTTATATAAATTATATACCACACCTACAGAAAATGAGTCGCTTTATTCTCAAGAAAATAAGAACCTGTTTAATTAGGAACCCGTTTAGCCAACTTTCCTGTTAAGCACCATGCATGTTGTAGGTTCTTATATGCGGGGTTTAATATAAAAAGTAAGCAATTTCAAACTGGTCATTAAATTGAAATTTCACTTGTTTTCTCTTAAAATTAAGTTCCCGAGTGCAAAAGGATTGTTTTTGCAAAAAATGGCTTGCACACAAAAATGGAAGGTATAATGCACGAATTTGATGTGAAACATGCGCGTGGAATTAAGTTAATCCAAGTTTCAACATTCCTGAAATTGATCACAGAAACTCGACAATATTATTACCTTTGGTATAAGTCATCGTCTTCGCCACCCCAACCCCAATATACATTTGAATAGCCGTTTATTTTCTCAAACTGTTCTTTCGTGAAAGACACAACGCCTCCACAGATAGTAAAATAAGGTAACCTGAACAAATATTAAGATTGCGTTAATTTTCCTCCAGTCATAGGATTGAATTATAAATCATGTGAGCAAAATAAACATGGACACCACAATAATTTTGTTTGAAGAAACCAAGTATATATTGTTTCATGATAGGCAGATATATTTCTGTGAAACATATGTCTAACTGAAACATTAGTGAAGATTTTTGATATTTTTGATAAAGTAATATGGTTTGCTAATTTATTCATGAATTAGTATTAAAGCGTTCGAGATAAAAATATAAATCAGATTAAGGTACAAATATGTGACACCACTATACGACTGTCCATACATTTAGGCCCCGATTACACTATACCGGATTGCATCGAAGCGACGCGATTTCTGTACCGGATTGGCCTCTTGTTTACACTACGCCACTGTAATCCGGTACGTGCCGCGGCGCGAAAATCACTTCGCTTTGGAGGTGATATGAAAAGTAATCCGGTACGTGCTGTACCGGATAAAACCAAGCGTAATCAAGCAATCCGGTACGCTCCGGTACTATAAATAGGTTTCGGCAAGTATATTTTAACATTGTCGTTTCATTTACTCGCTTTTAAATATTTTATAGGTGTTGTTTGCTTCGCTTTACAATTATTTATTATTTCTAGCGAAGACAAATAAAGATAGCGGTAATAACATTGACTTCTTGCTTTCAAAAGGGCAAAATTTAATGAAATACTCGTCAATTTTCGATAAGAGCGAGACAAAGCAACGTCCGGTGGTCAAGCTTTGTAAACAAAGTTATAATTCACAAGTACTGTCGAGAAAACGTCCAAAATGGTCAAAACTTATTATTTGTTTCCGTGGCAACGATAAAAGATACGAGCTGGCGACAGAGCGAAGCGGCATAGTGTAAACACCCTTGATTTTGGCTTCGGTGTGAAAATTGATCCGGTATGAAAATCAATCCGGTATAGTGTAATCCCAGCCTTACAGTATACACATGTAAAGACGCACAAGTTGTAACAAACCTGCAGCAGGCTTGTAGTAATGCTGTTCCAACAACTTGTCAAGCATGACTCGAAAACCGTTAAGGTTAACTCAATCTCCAGGCTCATATAAATGCAATATTTCTGTGTATTAGCCATTCCGAAATTGACGAGTGGACTGGGGACGAGTGTTAAAAAGTGCCCAAATTAGGAAATGAACCAAATCACTAAAAAGACCACCTCAAAATTAGTAAGTATGCACAGCTTGAAGACGTTTATATGAATACCCTTCGAATAATAAGCTTTTGAAAATTGTGAAATTACTGATTAAAAGACTGTTTTTGGGACGCGCGTCCCCCCAAACAAAAATTACAGTGCATTTCATAGTAAATATCGCGATTTTCGAAAGCTTAATATTCGAAGGGTATTCATGTAAACGTCTTCAAACTTTGTATACTTACTAATTTTGAGGTGGTCTTTTTAGTGATTTGGTTCATTTCTTAATTTGGGCACTTTTTAACACTAGTCTCCAGTATTCTCATCAACTTCGGAATGGTTATAAACTATTGCAGTGTAGTATATCACATACTATATATCTGAGCGAAATAAAGTATTATTATTATTATTAGGATGTGTTCGCACTGCTTGTTGACAGCTTGCTACAAAATTGTTGAGGTCAACAGACTTGTTACAAGTTGTTCCAACAACTTGTTATCGTTCTGTGCAATTCGACAATTTGTCAACAAGTTGTGAGTGACAACCTTGTAGCAAATTTTTACGCGTGTACGGCAAACGTACCTGTATCCAAATTTATCTACAGCCACAGACAAATGCCTCGGATTCAAAGCACAGCCATAATAATTCCTGTCGTCTTCCAGTAGCAGATCAACGTCGTGGAAAACAAAACATTGGAAATCATGAAGTCGGAGCGCTTCCTTGTATCCAATGTTAAACAACATACCTTTGTTGAAAAGTGCATCGCTGTTCTAAAAATGAAAAACATGTTCATTTACTTATACTGGATAGCTCTATTACACACGTAAAAATCCCACAACTTGTCACTATACAAGATGTGTTCGCAACAGGCTTGTAGCAAGCTTGTCAACAAGTTGTAACAATGCTGTTATGATTTTAT